TTGTCCATTTTAGAATACCCAGAAATTACTTCTAAATTATTATAATAAGCAAAAGCATCCCTAGCCTGCTTGAGTGTAATTCAAATATCACTTCTGAAACCTTTTGGTAATTTAGATTATTTAGTTTTATTCTTAATATTTATTAATGGTTATAAGGGATAAAAATAATTGATGATTCCGATCAGGCTTAATAACATAATATTTATGTTAACTTTAATTAATTATTAAACAATTTTGAAAATGCCATATCATTTCCCTCCTAATTTGTTCAAATTGAATTCGAAAGAGCCTATAGAATGTCTCAATATTCTTTTATTTAATAATGTACATGTTAGTAATTAATATTTGAATTTCAATATCTTGGTTGATATATTAATCCCCACATCTCTTCGTAAAAAGTTTATACTTGTTATAAAGAAATTGAAATCAAAATTTTCATAATATGTAAAAATTAAAACTAATTAAAGTCATGCTATTAGTGTTATGAAACCTTGCTAATATATGTGGGAGCAAGAAACATGAATATTAGTTGAGCTTGAGTATGATGGTATCTTTTCTATATTAAAAATTAATCTGGTATTATTTTCCAACTCTTATTCAAACTATTAATATAGTTTATAAGATAAAAGATAAACAATGATAGTCTCTCAAGAAAATATTGATATATTTTTAAATAATTAATCATGTTAACCTTATTTAAGTACAAGTTATTTTTCTTTAAAGATATATTAAAAGCTTTTATCAATAAGAAAAATGCGCATCTCTTCTTAGTATATATATCGTAATTGACTCAAAATTTCATTATACAACAAATTTTACAATATAAATGCTTTATTAAATGAATACCTAAAGTTATAGTTTTAAAGAAACAATACCCAACATATCAAAAAAATACTGATTTGAATGTGGGTTTTGAAAGTTTTCATTTCTTTTGCTCTTGAAAATCAAGCGCCTTAAGTAGTATATCATTCATTAATTACTATCAAATATTTAGCACTCTCAAATCTAAAATTAGTTTTTTAACTTTTGGTATATATGGCTTCTTCAATGCACATTTTCTTTCAGATAGTAGATATTTTCTAATATATATCAAAGGCCGTTTTATTGTAATACCACCTTATTTCCATACTATTCCTTTTTTTAAATTACGTTGTGTCCATTTACAAAAATTCTAATTTTTATACTTAATTCATTTCAATTTGTAATTCTCCAAATTCGAAAATAGATTATGTTTCGTGATTTTAAGTATAACCTCTGATTTTTATCTATTAAGATATACAAATTATTAATGATTTACAATAAATTTTTACTATCATTAAATTCAGGTAATTCTTCTGATCAACCCTAGTTGTTTATTGTTTTAACAATCAGTAGATGTAAGCTTTATCTAAAATTCATTTATCTTGTTATAATCTTTTGGAATCAGTGTCTTCAGTTTAATATCAATAAGTTCATCATCATCCAACTTGGATTTTGCTTTTAAATTTGACATAGTAAAATTTAGAAATTTATTCGGATTTATAAGAATTCTCTTAATTCATTAAACGATATTAAAATTAAATTATACTCCCAAATACTGATAACATTGAAAATTTTGAGGCTTGAGATGTTAGGTCTGATTACATGATCCAAAATATCCATTTGATTTGCATAGATACTATATAAATAGATGCAAGCAGGTACATCAATTTCACTACCATATACATATAAATTATTTGTTGCTTTAATTTTTTAGATTTTTTAAAGTTAGTAAGTTGGATAGATTTGAATTTAAATTTTTTCATTGAAATTTGATCTGTTTGTTTTTCATCAATTATCTAAAGGATATTGAGATCTCAATAAACAATAATTTTTTGCTTTATTTATCCTCTGATATATCACAAGCCGATAAAATAACAACGCCATCTTTAATTAGTTGAACTTATTAGCAAATCAATTTTTTTTACATTTTTGAGATTAAATTTAAATTTCATAATGAAATTCGAATACAAACTTTCTTTCATTGGTAGTTTAGTTACACCGCAAAGGATAGAACATACATATTTTAATCTTTCCATCAATCTTTAGATAATATAAAGTTCAATTGTGGCATGGTATATAAAATTTCTCTCTTTTATCATTGGAAGAAAGAAGAGACCTGCATAATTTTCTGGATCATTTTCTAATTCAAATAATTTTAAACAGTCTAATTCAAGACTTTTAATTTTTAAGTTGCTAATCTCATCGTATCCTCTCAAATTCAGTTTAAAAACATCACCGCTTAGCTTTGTGAATACTTAAAGATATGGGTATTACAAAATAGAGAGAATATTATTTCCTTTATTTTCTTAATAGATGTCATAACAGTATATGTTATTTATTAATCATTTGTAATTTATATATTAATAGTAGTTACTTAGTCTCCAATAAAACCATGTTGCATTTTTAAACTAATGCAACCTAAAGTGTTGGGCCATCATTTACACAAATTAAATCTTAAATATCATCAATTTGAACTAATATTATTAAAGTTTTGTAACAGAGTTAATATGATTGATATTAACATTACATAGAACGATGTCCCTAATTTTACGAATAAAAAGTGTTTCCGATTGGTTTTTGGATTTGGAAATAAACAGGTAGCTGCATAATCAACCTATTTGTACATCTTAACATCAATTAATATATAATCATACTAATAAGTTGCATCCAAATACGATAGTGTTAATATGGTTTCTTTATTAAAAAAATAACTTCCTCTATGTTTAAGGCTGAACCAGGAAAAACGTTACTTAAATCAATGTATGGTGTTAACTCTTTTTTTAGTATACTTCAAAATGAAAAAATTCTACATTTTACATTAAAATGATTGTCAAATGGCTCTGCTTTAGTTAGAGCAGATCAGTTGCATAAAATTCAAAATTTTTAGTGATGGGATATAATGAAGGAATGGAAATTATAATTAAGGAAAATTAGATGAAACCAGATATGTTATTCTTCACTCATTGCATTGACTTCTAATTTTCAAATGATAGGACATGAATTTGTTTTATATAATATAAAAGATTCTTAAATAACATAAAAGTTAGAAAGCATATAATTACCTTGTATTCCAACAAAGATGATATTTTTAGAACAAAGCCAATAAATTTATATTAAAAAACAAAGACTATTTAATATTGCTAAATTTATCATAACTACACCAAATTTCCTTGGTCTAATTTGATCAATGGATTAAATAAAAAGATTTTGTCTTTGATTTAGATTAATAATTTATATGTGTAGGTTTGGAAAATCAGGTTTGTTTTATATCTTTATCAGATACTATCATAATGGACAAATTATTTTAATTAGATAGTTAATCAGAAAAATTGTATATGAACTTTTCATAAAATAATAGTAATCTTTTCACAACTTTTTATCAAAATTCTTCTTTAATTTAAATTGAAATTAATTCTAATTTGATTCCAAAAAAGGTTTAGTTAAAAATATCATGTTTGGAATTTTTAACATTTAATAATCATGAAACCTAATTAATAGCAATTTATAGAATTAATAACTCAAAAAGTAGTTAATAATCATCACTATTTGATATAGAAACTCATAAAATAAATTTATGCTTTGGAGAGATAATTGATCCAAAATTTCATGAATCAAAATGTGCCACATTTTCTTATAATTAACTTATTGGATGCTAAGACTTGTAAATTGCTTTTATGTTTAAAAGTAATACGTCTATTATAGCTTTCTTTCGAATTAAAAAAAATCGGAATAATCGCTTAAGTAAGTGAATAAGTAATAAAATTATGGAATTTAAAGGCCTTATAATAATTTGAAATGGATGGTCATTCTGGTTATTTAATTCCTTATGCATTTCACAAGAGGGATTGTAATTGGTGTCAGGATCAGATACTGAAATTATTAGATGGGATTTGAAAGAACTTAAGAAATTTGGCACACATTATTAAAAAGTAAAAGACATCCAGGTATATTTTGCTTTTCACATAACTTTCTGTATTTTGCTGCTCTAGATTATGAATAGGGAATAGATATTTGGAAATTAAACACAAAATTCAGGTTTGAACATTACTATTTCAAATCAAATAAATCTAACCAAAAACTATTTTTTAATATTATGTACTTTTTTGGATTAAATCATTGATTGTTAGTTTATTCTTTTCTCACTTACTTTCATATTTTACATGCGCTTCGGACTAATTTAATCTAAATGCGGACAAAAATTGAAATAGAAATACTTTTTTTTTAAATGCCAAAATATTAATTTAGGATCCAAGGGTTGCAGTCCCAATTATGCAATTAGAAATCAACATCACCCTAATAGGCCAACTATGAGGACTCTTTGGCCGCTGAATGTTTGATAAGGACGTAAATGGAAAAAGGAGACATGGAGGACCCGATTTTAAGATATTTATTCATTAGAAATCAAGATCTAAATACGGTGAGATGGAGGTTGGTCTTCTCTTCAAGAGAATGCTTACGTGTTGGATAGAGAAGAAGGACATGGGATGAAAGACCTTTTAAAGATGAAGATATAGGAATGTCTTATTGAAACAGAAATTAATGGTAGATGAGCTAAATACTCTATGATGAAGGCAATATTGATTATCACTCCCTAAGATACGGATAAACAAACAAGATGAGGAGAAAAGATTTTACAGATTTGTAATTAGATGCGTTTTGGAATGGAACGAATAGTATTTTCCGGAATGAGCATAACGTTAGATATACTAAAGCCCTTCCATAACTTATTCAAGCCAAGATGGTTATATACAGACGGGGTTAGTTTCCGATAGGAAGCCTTTGGTAGTTGGTGAGAACGAGGCGAAGAAAATTTTTCATTTTGTGATAGATGATATGGAAGTGTTGCATAATATCTTACTCCAGATTGAATGTCCTGTAACATTCTACAAAGAAAAGGATCCTAACAACATTTAGTTGCTTTCATAAGATTGGTCACATTATGAGAGCATTGCTAAAGGTCCAAAGAAGTTAATAAATACAGAAGAGGAGAAGAAGAGTAAGAGTAGCTTAATAGAAAAATCTTAAGGCAAGGGCTATATTTTAAATCTTGTAAGGCTAAAAGGAGAAACAATTAGAGGCCTAACTTATGTAAGAGGAAAGAATCTCAGATTAGATATCAGCATAAAGTCGAGAATTAGTCAGAAAACTAAGGGTAGATTCGTAAGTATCCACTTCAGAATGGCGATCTTAAGCCTATACAGGGAGAGAAGAATAAGAAGTAAATGAAATAGTAAAAACTCTCGATTTGGCTTAGATAATTGATGGAAAGAAGAATGAGACTCTTTTGCCTCCAATTGCTTTTCCACAAGAGGTAACTCGATTTGTTGAGGCCTATTGGCTGAATAGTTACCTAAGACTATTTATGAAACATAACTATGAATACGCGAAATCGCCTTTGATGAAGGACTATTTTCAGAATATTATAAGCAGAGGGTTATGGAATTGAATCGGATTAAAAGGAGAATTATTGAAGAAATATAACTCATGGAACTATAAAATGACGACTTCAAAATATTGAGGGTCTAGTGAAAGACTGAGAAGGACTCATGCATGTCTTGTATGAAACTTCGGATTTAGGAATATATATATCATCAAACGGGAAAGTAAAGATGGTAATAATTAGGACGATGACAGGTGATAAATGCAATATCAGGTTAGATAAGGTTCTCTACAAACTAGATGAAGAGCTTAAGGAAGTAGTCAAGAGATATAATGACACCATTAGGATTAATGGCCTAGCTAGGTTATCTTTCGATGAGAAGATGATCTGCCCCTTATAATCGAGATTGTAGAATCGAGCTGAAATTTTTAAACACTCCTGTGTAACATGTATGGACCTTGTAATTGCTCAGGGCCATCCAAAATGACAATAATACCAACATTAATATTGTTATTATTATGCAGAGAATGTGAAAAAGGTAGTGTGAAAAATTTTTTACATTAAACACGTCTAATTCCATATTAATATGATATAAATACTAATTTTGATTTATAGAATATGTATAGGATGAAATCATTATTATAGCTTAATAGTAAGTTTTGAAAACTTAGCTGACCAAAGTATATTAACATCATATTATAACAATATATTTTCTCAATAAAACGATTATTACAAGTTTGAATTTTTTATTATCATTAGATGATATAACTCTTAATATAAAATGTATATATAATAATAATTAAGTGGTGAGTTTTCAATATTTCAATCGGTTTTTCCAAATATTGGAAACGAGAAAAACTAGAATTTACAAGGCTTAAATTTGATCTAATATACTCATTTGAAAAAGAAAAATGAGTTTTTGCACTTTCGATATATTAAATAATTAATCTTAGCTAGATTGTATAAGTTTAAATTTATTTTCATTTATTCAGTTTTAACGAATATTTTCATTAATCCAAATTAAGTGATTTTAATTTGTGATAATCTACTCAAAATCACATCACATTTAAGAAATGTATTTTCTATACTTTTTTTCTCTATATTCATTATCAAAAATAATAATAATGAAATGAGGTTTCTTTAGTTAACGTTTGGCTACAAAAAGAAGATAATTTAAATTTGCTCTCATAAATTATACATTTGTAAAATTTGAGCTTTTTACAAAAAACATTTGGTATATTAGACTATTCTCTAGTAGTTAATTTGTACACTCCGTAAACGTATTATATAATCTTTAATCTTAAAACTAAAAAATAATTTCATTCAACTTATAATTAGTATTTGTAAAGTTAGAAAGCATAATCGTACTTATTGATATAATCAACGTAGTAAATGGATGAAAATTATTCCTTTTTTCATTGTGAAATGATTAGACAGCCCTTTAGATTTAAGATTTTATTATTAAGCGATTTGCCTAATTCGTCCTATTTTATTATAAACCAAAGATATATCTTGGCAAGCATGTTTAAACTTAATTTCAATAATCAAAAAATAATTATTAAATTGATTATTAATAAAATAGAATCACATAATCTTTAATACTTTAAAATTAGTTTATGGCTAATTTAATTGAAAACTTTTCAAAAATAAAACTAAAATTCATTAAAGCCATAATATATTTCAATTCTTAATCTAGATTATGGAATTTTTTAGAAGATTGCAAAATTCAGAATAATGCGATTTTTTTTTGTAATTCATAAATAATATTATTTCTAGGAAGAAATTAAACAAAGAATGATTTGAAATGAAGAAAAAATTAAAAAAATCGTTATATTTATAATTAGCAAAATAAGATAATTAACAAGAACCAAATTTTTTTAATCCAATACTTTTTCTTTCTCATGGTACCATTAATTCTCCAAATAAATTATGTTATTCAACATTTCTCATTCAATAAGAAAGAGCAGTTTGAATACATTATTGATACACTTTTTATAGTTTGTTTTTTTTTTGAATGGATTTCTATTTATTGTTTAGATTAATTTATTCAATTATTATTCCAAACTGTAATATCAAGAAGGCTGAATAATTATATTTAATAAACTTCAAGAACTGTAACTTTGGATATTGCCTTTTTCTAAATGAAATTCAATTCTTTACTGAATAGTAGAATTAAAGAAATTTATAAGATAGTAGCCTCTAAATAGGAAATTCAAAGTGGATCACTCTAATTTTCATTTACATAGAATATGGGGAAAACTATATACAGTTTAAAATAACAAATTGAATTTTAAATTTCATTGATTTTATAGAAGTTGAATAATGAAATCTTCTAAGATATCTAAATTCCAAGAAACATGAATATAAAGATTAGTATCAACTTCTGGAAGTTTTTATTAAGAAAGCTATATCCATTTTTTGAGGGATAAATCAACTAAATTCTCACATAAACACACCACCTTATTATTGAAATACATCACCAGGTTTGCTCCTTAAGGAATATTTAACCATAATAATTGAAGATAATAAGCATATCGATTGCTTAATCGAGTTGTTTGAGAATAACCTATTCTTTAGACTGAGATTTAAGCCAAATCTTAAGAATAAAGTAATATGTGCAATGAATATACTAATTCATGATCATTTAGGTTCCGATATTCTAAGTTCACAAATATAAGAAATAAATACTAATTTATTTTAAGATGCTTAAATTAAAATATGAAACCATAGATAAGAGAAATTACTGCTTTTGTGATAATTGAATGAAGAAATAACAGAAAAAACTGAGATTAGAACTACAAAAAGACTTATGAATATATCTCATAATTAAGGAATAAATATTGATCAAAAGAAGAGATGAAATACGATTTCGGCTATTATTCTGCTGAGTCTTATAAACATATGAGAAAAGCATTTTTTTATTGATCTTCAGATATGCCTGCTAAAAAAAGAAGAATTATTTGAACATGCTTTTTTATCTTTCATATCCAAATAATTGATTTTTAATTAGCTGGTAGACTAAAATAAAAGCTATCACTGTGTCTAAAAACCAGTTCCTCCAAAATAAATAAACGAAATAGATTTATATGAATTGCAGTGGGATTTTGCCTCAGATTATTAAGCCAATACCAAAGGACTAAAATTCTCAGAGAATAGTACAAATGAATAGACTTATAAGTAATTGAGCACTAAAGATTGTTTTGGAATCCTATAGATGTATTCACTTTTGAAATTCTCCATTTATTTAAGTCTTAATAAGGTGCAAGCAAATGAATCATCTATTCTTTTGCCTAATTCTATTAATAAAAAAAATACATTCAAATAGCATTAAAAGTATCAATTTAAATTTAATTTAATTATTTTTATTAATTATGATAGAATTAGAACTAAAATGTGCAAATAAACACTAGAAGCCTATTCTAAGTGTAGTTTTTGATAACAAGCATGTAAATAATCAAAAACTCCTATGTCATGAATGCATGGAAACTTTTACCGAAGATGCTCGAATTATGGGATTTAAGGTAGTGAACTAAATGATTGCAGAAAGTCAGAAATAAAAAAGAGATTTTGTTGAAATTTTGATTGAAAACAATTAAAAGATATTAAAATCTATTCAATTAAGCTTAGTAGAATTAAAATCATCAATAATTTAAAAATTAGATTCACTAGATGCAATCACAAATTCATGGATCCAAAATTTGAATAATATTAAATCAGATAAAGCTGCATATAGCTTCTTTGAAGAATTAGATAAGATAATAAGTTATGGAAAGGAAAAAGTAAGTTAGATTAATAAATAAACAATATTTAATGAAATTAAAGAAACAAATAGTTTATGGAATGAAAAGTTTAAAAATAAATTAAAAAAATTTACTATGTTTAAAGATTATTTGAAATGTTAAGTAATTTTATAAGATCTTACCTTACAAGAATAAGTTAATCTTCCTTCTAATCAAGAATAATTTTTGAAAATAGTAGACACTTAATTCAAAGCTATTAAAGGCATCTTCAATCAATACATATTATATACTAAAAATGAAGAACAATATATTAACTATTTTAGAAATGAAATAATAAAATAAAATCCTTTTGAAACATAAAATAATGAATGCTAAAATATTTTTCAACTTTTTAAAAGGGAACTTATTGAAAATAAACAATTCATATTCATAAATAAGGTCGAATAAAATTTACCCTATCTTGACATCTTTCATTAAACAATTTCAAAGAAAATAGAAAACTCTAAAAATTCATTATTAGATATGAGATAATTTTACTCTTAATCTATATATTATGATGTCGTATCAAAGGCTAATATCTAAGACTATTTAAATAATTTTCCTATTAAAAGTTTTGTTTAAAGTGGTACCTTTCTTAGGAATTTGTAAACTCTACTTGACTCTTTACACATTAAATATGAAAAAACGTTTGTATTTGAGGGTGATATTAATTATGTTATAAACTTTGATTCCTTTTAGAAATAATAAAAATCAATCAAATTTGACAATTTTGTACAAATTGATTTGTCTGGTACAAAAATTAGCGAAAATTTTAAATATATTTATAAAGATTTGGAAGTTATCTAAAAATGTGATCAATCATGGAATAATAATTTAAAATTTAAACAAGACCTTTTATAATAATATATAATAATAAGTACATAAATTGAGATTAAACCTGATTAAAATTAGGATTAAAAATCTTTAAACTACATAAAATCTCCTCCAAGTGACATTCCTCAATATATTCGTACTAATTTTCTACAATAATTTAATACAATAATGATTGAGTAAAATTATTGGAATAAACTTTACGAAGAACTTTACAATTTAATAAAACAAGTAATTGACCTCTCAAAATAGAAAATAGAATATTAAAGTACTACATCTAATTAATAAGTTATCAACGATAATAAAGATCATGAGAATATTTCATTTTATAATCCTTAGATAATTCAAAGTATAATTTAGAAGGTTTAAACTAACATTAAGGTTAAATATAATAATTAATTTGCTTAATTTGGTGTTATGTTAACTGATATTGGAGAGAAGTGTATCTTTTATTATTCTATGTTAATTACATGGAGATTTCTTAGTAGAAAAGTAGAATCAAAAAAAGAAATAACTAAATTATTATATCAATTATTAGTTTGAACATGAGTGATTATAATTTATAATGATATAAACATTGTATTACTAATGGTATCAGCATATTGTGTATGCAAAAATCCATCAATTTATTATTGGTTATGAGCAATGATTGTACTGATCCAACAGAATGGAAAACATGAAGCCAACTCACTCTAATTGTATGTTATTTTATTATGGTATTTCTGTTATTTACAATCCATATCAATTCAATTCTATCAATTTTACCATTTGTTAAATATTTAAATAAAAGATTCACTGATTTATTATATGGTGCTTGGCTTTCCAAACTTCATAATTGAGTTATACTTTATTATATGTATTAAATATTGTCCTTTTGTATTGAAGATTGTAAAATAAAAACCAAAAGGAAATTATTTGTAATATTTCTTTAGCCTAAACTTACTTTATTTTGTCTTCATATATTTCTTTTGAATTTCTGAGATACTATTTTAATTCTCTGATTTTACTGTATTCATGTTTCTGATCATCTAATCTATTTGCTTATAAGTGCTATAGTTATTTCATTTCATAATAGATACTGGGACAATTTCAAAAACTACCTAGCTGATGGTTTCCTCATCCAATATAACAGCTCGCTTGATCATCTATATCTTTCCTCTTTACTTTAAAAATTCGAGTTGGAAGTTTCTATCTCCAGAATTTACATTTGAACTTCTTCCTCCTTTCCTTGAAGTCAATGTCATTTGTGATTTGGATAATTTGATTTTATTATCTATCTTATTGAATTATCCACATTGCCTTGCCGAATTGATGTCTTTTTTATTAAAAAAAATCTTTTATAAACTTGAAACTTCCAACTTAAATCATATTATAGGCAGAATTTGAACTCTGCGTCTTGACTTTTCAAATGGAATATTCCATAATAAATTTCTATTAATATACGATAACTTTGGTGTATTGGATGAAATTTAAACTAATTATATTGAGATCTTGATTCCACTATCCTATTCTTATAAATAATTCTGCAAATACTAAAAGCTTAGAAGCCAAGGAGAACTAAATTTGCTACTGTTGCTATTAGAAACATTTCAGTAAAAAGTTAATTATTTGATAATAGTAACTTCACTTCAATTAAATGCTAATTTGAATCTAAATATGTTTAGTTCCCATAAGTTTTTTTTCTGCACAGAATTTATTATTCCTTACTGACAGAATTCTTCATACCTCAATACTAGTGTCTCTTAAAAGCAGTTTATTATTGAATGGGAGAAGTTGCATCTATCTGTGTATTTATGGGTAAAATTGGATGTATTTGAATAAAATTATATTAATTTAAGCTTATAAAATAACATCCTTGCATAATTATTTTTTCGAATATTCAATATCTTAAAAGACTTAAGTTATGATAATAATCTTTTGGTTAACAGAAGAAAGATTTTATGATTAGAGAAAATTTACTGTCTAAATAAAGAATCATAAGTGATATTGCTTAAGCAAGGTAATGTATGTTTTTTTGCTATTTTTCAATTTTATATTCAAATTATTGATAATATGTTAAATAATAGCTAGAAACCTAATGCTAAAAGTAATTAGTTGATTTATTATTTCTCTATGGATCCTTACATTAAGTATTTTGGTGTATTAATTATGATGATTAATTTTCCAAAAGATCTTTTTCATTCTTTTCTACACGAAATACATGGATGTTTTTATTTAATTGAGATTCCGCATTCTCATTTCCTTTATTTATTTTATTGATAAGCAACATTCATATACTAAAAGACTATTATCTCATCAAATACTTCTGCCTTTGATTTCCCATACAAAACCATTAATTTAATATCAAATATTACTATTGATGTTGATTTAGTAGTATACAAAGAGAATTTGGTAAAATCTGTATTGAAATTATTAAAAATTTCTAGTATCAATTAAAGACTGCTAGTAGATTAATAAAATTATTTAAAGTACATCGCATTTATTGAATCTTATTAATATGAATTAATTTATTTTAGTAAATGTTTGATTTGATTTATCAGACTCCTCCTTATTCAAGCAGTTCCTATAGTTTAATCCGCATAAACTTGATGGCTAGAAAGTAAAATATTTTTAAGAGGATTATTTTCTAAATTATATTTCTTTGTTTTATTGACATCGCTGACAACTGCTATGCAGGCATACTGTTTTCATATTCTTAACTACGATAGTAATTAATTAATTTTTCTGTCTTACTATCTGAATTTATGCCTTACTGATTATAAGTTGAGGGTAGATATTTCAATGGATTAATTAACCAATAGTAATAAGTTAACCCTTATCTTCTCTAAGGCAGTTAAGTACTTAGATACATCAATTATGAATTTTTTGAATTCCTTTACTTCCTCTTGTGAGGATTCAATTTCTTAATAATATACAATTAATAGTAATTGCTTTTGGAAAGGTAACATTTCAAGAAGCAAATTAGGAATTTTTGTAATTGAGTTTACTATTTTAATTAATTTATAATTATTAATTTACTTTTACTTTTACTGTAAGCAATTTTTTATTTTAAAATGGGGGAAATCAATACATATGGCTAAAAATTGAAAGAATTTTATGAAAATATTATACCTAGTCATTTAAAGAAGCCATATCCGTTACCAATAAAACACTAACTAATTTATTCACAGCTAATATATCCAAAAATATTTGTAAGATTCCCTAAACATATCATTAAGTGAGAAATGTTTATGGGTTTACTATGCGAGAAAAGTTTGCATTTTCTGATTACAATAAGTATTTGTCAATTCTATTATGTAGTAAATGAAATTATTTTGATAAATCATTAAACCAATAATAGAGAGTCTAGAAAAATAGATTATTCTTTTATGAGTTAAATTAAGAAATTCAATAATAGTTTGAAGTTTTTATATTAAAAAAGATGTTCATATTATTCTTCCTGCTCAAATTCAATCAATCATATTTCTTATCAATTCAAATGATGAGGTAATTAAATTTTCTACATTCTCTTTAATCAAAATCATTAACATTTTTTTTATTTAAACAAAAAGCTAAAAAATTAACTATCTGTAATTAAATTAGCATTATGTTTAAGGTGATTATAATGTTGATAATGAAGGGAAAATAGTTCGCAAATTGCAATGATATGGACTAAAAAAGTTTTTGTATATTCAAAGCATTTATATATACGAATATAACGATTCCTTTCATTGCTATTTTGGGAAATTACTAAAATAAGACTATCTTTAAATCTGTTACGATCAAAACAAACGGAAAATTTTGAATTCGCCTATTATAATAAGGTTCTTGAAATCAATCTAAGATGTTAATCCTTTCCTTAAGTAACCTACATTCTAGTATTCCAAATTAGATGTATTCCCTTTCTCTCTTCCTAAGCATCCACCTTCTTATTTATTCTCTAAATTTATTAAGTAACACGGTTCCACGTGAATTTGTTATCATCTTTAGAAAGAATGTTCCTCTACACTGGCTCAATCAGACTCCCATAATAGTGACCATATTTAATGTCGAAAAATGACCTTTAAAAACAGGTGTTTGAGATGTTTTGGTAATTCTAAATCTTACGTTTCAGTTTGATAAATCCTTGGGGGTATAAGCTGATTTAAAATAATTATTGTTTTTGTTACTGCCATCAATCTCTTTAACTCAGAAATTTCTTACCCTTAATATAATTACAAAGAAATATTGATAATTGAATTTGATGTGGTGGTATATCATATTCATCCACTTCTGCGATTGGTCAAATCAACCCGTCGAAAAACAGAATAATTTGAATCTAATAATTCACAATCTAATCAAAGATATTTATAAGGAATAAGACCTAAATATTTTATTTCCTAATTTAATAGCAGCAAGGTCTTAACATAAAATATTACATCAAATGTTATTCTTTCATATTAAGAAAGGAATGTTAAAATCAATTATCAACTATTTTCTTTAAAAATTGAATAAATTATCTCATAGCACAAATCAATTTGTATACTATAATTTTAGATCTTCTGATTTGCATTTAAAAGATATAAGATGAACATAATAACAAAAGTACAAGGTTTCCAAGATAAATCTTATGAGTGTGAAATCTGAATAATTTCAATGTTTTACTGTCTCGATTAACTTCTCAGTTCAGTTTTCCATAAAATTCAAAAGCATTCAAGCTAGAATCTAAAAACTATTTAGAAGCAGATTCTTAAAGAAGATATTTTGGCAGGTTGAATTTCTAGCATAATTTCATTCTAGTTAATCTAATTTAAATAATGTGAAAATGTTTAAATAGATTGTCATTGCTACTATCTGAAAACATGGAAGTTTAGGTTTTCTTCATAAAACTATTTTTTTATTTTCAAGCAACCTTGATTTTGGATAATATTATTTTAAGTTGAATTGTGATAAAAACAATAGCAATATATTAAATATTAATTTGAATAGAAAAAGAAAAATGCAGATGAGATGTAATTAAGCTGACCATGAAAATCAATCTATAATAGGGGTTTGCATAGATATTACATGTCCGAATTTAAGCCCCTATTGTAATTTTTGTTTGCCTCTCCATGCCAAACATCTTCATATGTTAACCCCTTTGGATCTTATAAATGAATGGATTTC